ATTTGATACAATTATGAAACAATTATGCTTAACAATCAATTAATATAATAAATTTTTTTTTTTTTTTTTAATTTTTATCATAATTTTTTCTATTGGATTTCCTTTATTTTCTTTATAAATGTAGGACGCTGTCAGCACCGCGCGCTATTAATTAGTTACATGTTTAGAATCGATTCGATGGATCCGATATGTGGTGTTGCGCGAGTGGTGTTTTGTGATATAATGAAGACGCGAATTTCAGGGAGAATCCCGCAGATGGGTCCTCGTCCAACTACACCCCCGACGCGTCGACACGGTCGCTAAGGCCGATATTCACCCCGAAAACACGCTACTTGCAGTCCCTGCACGGAGATTGTCGACACGGCTTCAAGAAGTTCCTGCTGTTACCGGACATGGATAACTTTCTACGGACGTCGAACTCCCGCATCGCATCTCGATCCATGTAAAGTCCTTGTTTCGCCGCTCGCTCGCGCAGCGCGGCACCGCCGTACAAATATTATTATTATATCTCAAATTCACGCGTGTAATTATAAGGAGGACGGGGGGAAATGAGCACGTGAGACTGTATGAGTGTAAATATTTGGATTCTGACGTTTTTCCTTGCTGATGTATCTTCACCTCTCATCAAACGTAGATTCGTTGAATATCTCGATTACTATCAAATGATAATTCAGAAAATACAATATTTAAAATAATATTGAACAATATTGAAAAATTATTGAAAATTAGCATTGTAATTAATTGAAATTGAAAAAAGACAGAAGTGAGGAAACACGTCGCGTAATTTGTCAGCGACAATCCAGTAAAAATTCGGCAGGAGTTGATCTTGTCGCAGGCTCTATCGATCCAACAATAAGCTTTACTGTTTGCTGACAATAATCTTACGTAATCCTAATGTAACGCCTTAAATGTGCCATCTGTATCGAATTAACAGATTTAAACTGTTATGCAGAAAGCGTATGTCTAAAAAAAAAAAAAAATTCCAATTTACAGATAGATTTTTCTCAAGAAATTTTTCTCCACAGTTATATAAGTTTTTGGATCTATATTATATAAGAGACTTTGTCATCGGTAGATGTTACACGAGTTTCTGAAAAACGCATTTCTCTTAATATTATACTTAATATTATATTATTCTCTTAATATTTATAACTTAATATTTCTCTTAGTGTTGATGTGTATAGCAAACGTATTGCCGTCACTTTTGTAACACGTATCTTTCAAGGCAAGGTGAGAAATATCTTTGATCAACAATTAACGAATCTTTATCAATAGTCAAACTACGCATTAAATTTGGCAACGTTTTTTTTTATCATTGACGCTATTTGCATAATGATTTTGCTGATCATTTTCGAACGATTCGTCGAGAAATGTATTCTGCTCTCGTGACCTTTTATCGTAATCCGTTTGTAACTATCTGAACGTACGAAAAAAAGGGATAAAAGATCGTATATCAATTTGTCATTACTACTTAGCTGAATGATAAATCGTCGCGGGATCGAAATATTTTATCCCGCGCTCGGTTTCTAATTTAAACGAGCACAACCGCGAAAGGCTGTATGTCACTTTGATGATTATTACTTAACTTGGATTTACTAATAAATCATTGAGAGATCGAAATATTTTATGCGCGACCATGGCGAGCCACTAAGATCATAAAAAGAGGATTAAGATTTGCGCACGTCAATTCGACGATTGTTATTGAGCAAAACCATAAATTGCCGTTGAACGCAGCTATGCAAAAATAAATTGGAAACAAAATAGTTCGCAATTGTGAAATGTGATAATATTAACTGCACGAAATGATTGTTATTTTACAGATATTTCTCACCGTGTTATAATTAATACTTTTGCGACGCATCGTATGATTTTAGATACGGGATATTAAAAATTAGAAACAAATCTGTTTTTCAAATTCATTATTTGTTAAAACAATATCTGCATATGTTGGAATAATATTTAACAAAATTATTTAATTTTACCAAATTTTATGATAAAATGAAACAACTTCTAGTTCTTCTCATACAATTTTAAAATTTATCTGGATAAAAACTTAAAGGAAATATATATATATATATGAATGGAAATAAATTTAATCAAAAAGATATTTTTATTATATTATATATTCCAGTTGTATCTTTCAAGAACCATTTTTCAAATTATAAAATTTAGAAGCTATAAAATTAGAACTTTAAAATTTAAAATTTAGAATATTAATAAAGATTTTAAATATTTGACTTTATTTTTCTCGAAATGTCATTTTGACTCATACATCTTTTTCTGTGGTGAATCAATTAAAAAAGTCAATTGAGGTGACATACGTTGCGGTCGCAGAAGCGTTTACAGACTTTAAAAGAAAAGATGTGGAAAACAGAAAGCATTTTTGCATGTAACGAACTTAGACATTAGGACATTTTGCAGTGTCCTCCCCTCGTCTGTGTCCTGTATCTTTTTCATTCTTTTCCGAAATTTTACGATTACAGCTGCGAGAATCTCGATCGTTCGCACGCACCCGGGCAAGATCGACGAAGCCAGGAAATAATCTCCGTGAGCGTAGTAACATATACGGTGTAAATGCCAAATTAGTGCTCAGAGCATGCAGGCTCGATAGTGATAACGCCAATTCGGTTTCATCCTAGTCTCCATTGTATCTCGTTTGAATATCGTTAGAGACGTCGTTGTGTAACATGTATGTGGTATTGCACGTATCAGTCGAAAATACGCCCGATGTCACGGCATCATCGGTCTATCATTGCTGTGGACGACATATAAGTCTATCAACTCTCTTTAACTTTACGATTTAAAGTACTATGTGTTTGTCTAGACAATAATGGATAACCAAAGTGACAATAAAGCGATAATAATATTGAAGTAATAAAAAAAAAAACCCCGGATTTTATTCCACAGATACGTTTGCTCTACTTTTAGTTCTCATAATTATTTATGTATAATAATTAAATGTGATTTTCAACAATAGAAAGAAAGAAAGAATTACATTAATATATAAATGCGATACATAACCATAATGTTATTAAAATTTTAATAATTTTCATTAATGATTTATTATTCTATATTGTACATTTAAAAGATAATTCGCATATTAATTTCACAGGATATAAATTAGATAACACATAACTTTGATGAATTATAAACATCCTACTGCAATATTGATCTTATTTAGTAATTATTTAATGACCATTATTATAATTTTATTTAATATTATCAAATTTTAACAACAAAATAAAGAATTGCAAAAAATGTTATTTGTAGAGTTTTAATATACACAAACTGTAATCTTGTTTGTTAATGCAGCAAATAATTTTATGGGTTGCTTCTTATATCCACAACTATACGTATTACCCAATCAATGACAAAACGTAAAAAGTTTTTAACATCTTCTGGCAATTCCAAATCCTCCTCTTGTTCACTAGAACAATTTACATTGCCAGTGTTATCATTATTTCCATTGCCATTTCCATTCACAATGTTTCCATCGATACTATCGTTTCCGCTGGATATATTGTTATTGTTGTTGTTGCTGCCTGAATTATTAATTATGAAAGATGTATACTGATCATTCTTTCTAACATTGCCGGAATTATTGTTGTTTCCATTATGATTTCCATTTACGATATTTCCATCGACATTGTCGTTACCATTCGATACATCGTTGTTGCTGTTATTATTACCAGAGTTATTAATTATTAAAGGAACAGACGACACGCTACGCCGTTTTATATTGCCTGATTGCTGGTTGTTGCCATTATTATTGCCGTTTACTAAGTTTCCATTGACGTTATCATTACCGTTGGACACATTATTATTATTGTTACTATCTCCAGAGTTATTAATAATTAACAGAGATACGTTAGAATTATTCTTTTTAATATTTCCGGAATTGGTATTGTTACCATTGTTATTGCCATTCACCAAATTTCCATTGACATCATCATCGCCATTTGATACAGTATTATTCTTATTATTATTTCCAGAATTATTAACAATAAATAAAGATAGCAGTGAAACATTTCCGGAATTGGTATTGTTGCCATTGTTATTGCCGTTCACCAAATTTCCATTGACGTCATCGTTGCCGTTTGAGATGTTGTTATTACTATTATTATTTCCAGAGTTATTAACAATATATGAAGATCGCGGTGCAACATTTCCGGAATTGGTATTGTTACCATTGTTATTGCCATTCACCAAATTTCCATTGACATCATCATCGCCATTTGATACAGTATTATTCTTATTATTATTTCCAGAATTATTAATAATAAATAAAGATAGCGGTGCAACATTTCCGGAATTGGTATTGTTACCATTGTTATTGCCGTTCACCAAATTTCCATTGACGTCATCATCGCCATTTGATACAGTATTATTTTTATTATTATTTCCAGAATTATTAACAATGAATGCAGACCGCGCTGTAACATTTCCAGAGTTGGAATTATCACCATTATTGTTACCGTTCACCAAATTTCCATTATCATCGCCATTTGATACAGTATTATTCTTATTATTACCTCCAGAATTATTGATAATGAATAAAGATCGCGGTGCAACATTTCCGGAATTGGTATTATCACCATTATTATTGCCATTCACCAAATTTCCATCGAAGGTATCATTGCCGTTCGAGACGTTGTTATTACTATTATTATTTCCAGAATTATTAACAATATATGAAGATCGCGGTGCAACATTTCCGGAATTGGTATTGTTACCATTGTTATTGCCATTCATCAAATTTCCATTGACATCATCATCGCCATTTGATAGAGTATTATTCTTATTATTATTTCCAGAATTATTAATAATAAATAAAGATAGCGGTGCAACATTTCCAGAATTGGTATTGTTACCATTGTTATTGCCGTTCACCAAATTTCCATTGACGTCATCGTTGCCGTTTGAGATGTTGTTATTATTACTACTATTTCCAGAATTATTGACAATGAATAAAGATCGCGCTCTAACATTTCCAGAATTGGAATTGTCACCATTATTATTGCCGTTCACCAAATTTCCATCGACATTATCATTGCCGTTCGAGACGTTGTTATCACTATTATTACTCCCAGAATTGTTAATAATGTATAAAAATTGCGTTGTATCACTTTCGTCGTTTTTTTTCGAGCAGGTTACGTCCTTCGAGCAGCCATTTATCTTCGGATCGTATCCTTCATTAGCTGCGCAGGACATCTCCCACGGCTCGTATTTACCGGGTGACACTTCAGCACACAGAAAGTATTTTCCACAGGATTTGGGGTTTGTAAGATCGTCAGGCGGTTGATTGCCACCCGTCCTACAGTATCTTACACATTTTCCCTGAGTGAGGTCAAATTTCTCGTAATCCTTGCATCGGTTAAGAATGTATGGCTTGCCAAGCAGACATATTCCATAAATGCGATTGTCTAGCGGATACACGAACTTCCTTCCTTCCTGACCAACGCAATTTATCATTACGCAATCGCTGGAGGAACGTCTATATTTGCAGACGCCTTTTGTAGGATCGTGGACGTTATTTGGCGGACATTGGTTCGTCCTTACTTCGTTATTTGCACATATATAGTAACGCGTGCAATCTGTCAGGTCAGGATACATGCCATCGGCCGGACAGGAAAACGATGAAGGTTTTTGGTCGCATTTGGATCCTGGAGTCTAATAGTGACATAAAATACATAAATGCAAGAATTGATACAAAAATAATAAATCGTAACGCAAAATAAATATTAACAAATTGTCACTAATAAATAGTAATAAATTTTTTGCAACGTACAATTTTTTTATTTAATTTAAAAAATAAGAATTTAAGAAAAAATCTACGTATATATACTATTATATACTATTTCTATTTTATATTATTAATATTGTATTTAAATCAGATAAAATTGAATATTTTTGCAAATTAAAATCAATTACGTATGATCGATACCTTTGAACATACACCATTGTTGCAATAAGGCTTGTCTGTAGTAGGGTCGCAAATTATATGAGCTAATTCAATCAATTCATTGTTTTTTTGTATGCATATTCTTCCCTTGTTGCAATCGATACATTCTAGTTCAGCATTGCATTTACTTGGTTTTTCTGGGGGACGTATTATAATAACTTCGCTGTCAAAAACAGTCAGTTGACTAAACGCTACTTTATAGCAAAAGATAAACGTCTAAAAATATAAATACGATTATGTATGTGTTATAATATTGCACATTAGATGTATGTAAAAATATATTTGCCATATAATTGCAAGATTTCTCTGATATATTTATGACTACACAGCAATATTTATTAATTTTTTCATTGCACACATTTCTTTATTCAAAAAATCCAAAATTTTTAAGTTTGAAAACATTCTGTTTGATATAATAAATTAATTTTACTTTATTTCAAACTAAAGAAAAAATAAAAAGTTGTAATTTTATTTTATATCATTATTATATTGTTTTAAAATAAAAAATGTTAAAATCAGTTATTTATATTTGTATTACTTATTTGCTGTATAAAAAGATATTACTGACAAAATGTGTTTTTGAATATTCTTATAAGTATATTATTTAACATTACATTAAAGATATGCACTTACCAGAAAGATCGTTAACCATACACTGTGATGTTTATCCATTTTGAGGACAATCGTGAAATTTCAGTTGCGCTATTTCCTCTTATATCTACTCAATTTCTTAAAATATCACTGATACGCGCAAAAGTAAATATGTCTTACTTAAGAATGTTTGTGACGTGAGTGAGCAAAATGATTTGCAGTAAATTCATTTGATAACGCATTTCAAGAATTTCTATTTACTTTTATGTATCAAAAACTGATATCGCAATTACTGTTCATTACAGAGTTTTATTAACACTTTCGCTACCAACGTCATATATGTGTGACGCGCCGCGATTCTGTTTTCAGAGAGTTTTCTATTTTGACGTCGCACAAATGTGACAGCGATAATAACAATATTCATTATTTCTATTTATTACATTTTATGTGTGTATAAGTGAAAATCTTCAGTATGTTGTGCAAGAAAACAAAAAACAAAGCATGGATGTTTTTCTCCAATCATGGTGGCGAACATGTTAAGATTGGTAAAAAAAATTACAGCAGTATTTTTAGTTTTCACAAATAATATTAAAAATTGTAATTAAAAAGTAAAAAAATTTGTTCCCAAAACATAATAATATTTTAATCCGTCAGAAATAATATTTAAATTTTTTATCACTGCTTTAATGTTGACACTTCACATATATTGTGTGATATAAAAAGAATGTTGTAATAAATAATTCGCAGGAGATCATAATATCATTTAGACCTGCACTTTAAAGTCTTTCTTATGTAAAGAATGATAAAGTCTATTGCAGATTTTACAACAAACGTCTGCGCTTCTTTATTTAGGAACAAGCTTTTAATGATACATATCTAATCGCTGACAATGTATATCTTCTGCAATTTTAAAAATCAAATCACAGAGATTATGTTATTTTTAACAAGATAGAGTAATAAACGTATCAAAAATGACAAGTCTTGTTTACTAATTTCCGTTTAGAGATAAAAGCTAAGTCTTAAAAACAATTTTCTGTTGTTTAAAAGCTTTCTTTATTACATTAATATTGATTCAATACTGCAATATCTAGGAGAGAAAATTAAAATACTGTAAAAAGTTGAGTTAATAATATATTATATGCAATATAATAATTATATAATTATGTACGATAAAATCATCGACATGTCTCGCGTATTTTTTACACATCAAGTAAAAATAAAATAACAATAATATTAAAGTAATAGTATTAAAGTAATAAAAAAACCAGAATTTTATTTCACAAATACATTTGCTTTCAGTGTTTATTGTTAATCAATGTTGCTAAATGCTTTCTTCGAGATTGAATTATTTTCGTTGCCGTTTCCGTTTATTATCATTTACATCGTCATTGTCATTTGCAGCGTTATTATTGCTATTGAAATTTCCAGAACTATTAATGATCAATGGAAATGCTAGCAGATTATTTATTTTATTGTTTATTTTCTTCTTGGTGTTGTTGTAATTGGTGGTGTAGTTGATTGTGTAGTTGGTCTAGGTGTTGTTGTTGGTGTAGTTGGTATAGGTGTATTTAATGTTGTTGTTGTTGTTCGAAACAGGCAAGGTGCGTTTTTCGAACAGCCATTTATCTTTGGATCGTATCCTTCATTAGCGGCGCAGGACATCTCCTGCGGCACGTACTGGTTGAGTAACTCTTCGGCGCAAAAGAAGTACTTTCCACAGGATTTGGGGTTTGTAAGATCGTCAGGCGGTTGATTGTCGCGCGTCTTACAGTATCTTACACATTTTCCCTGAGTGAGGTCATATTTCTCGTAATCCTTGCATCGGTTAAGAATGTATGGCTTGCCGAGCAGACATATTCCATAAATGCGATTGTCTAGCGGATACACGAACTTGTTACCTTCCTGATTTATGGTGCAGCTTACGGTTACGCAATCGCTAGTGCTACGCCTATATTTACAGGTGCCATTCACATGATCATAGACGTTATTTCGCGGACATTGATTGGTCCTTACGACGTCATTTGCACATATATAGTAACGCGTGCAATCTGTCAGGTCAGGATACATGCCGTCGGCCGTACAGGCAAACGATGGAGGTTTGCAAGTAGTTTCAGGAGTCTAAATATAAGAATGCAAGGATGAATACAAAAATAATAAAACGTAACGCAAAATAAATATTAACAAATTATCACTAATAAATAGTAGTAAATTTTTAGCAACGTACACAATATTTTAATTTAATCCTGTAAGAATCTAAGAAAAAATCTACGTATATACAATACTATTATATTTCTATTTTATGTTATTATATAATATATCACATTTTACTCAAATGGAATTAAATACTTTTGCAAATTAAAATCAATTTTGTATAATCGATACCTTTGAACATGTACCATTGTTGCAGAAAGGTGTATCTGTATTGTCATTGCACATTATACGACCGAATTGTATCAATTTACCGTCTTTTTGTACGCATACTCTCCCTGTGTTGCAATTGGTACATTCAAGTTCAGCATTGCATCTAATTGTATCATTCAGAGATATGACAACTCTGTTCCCGTTAAGAGTCAATAATTGACTAGACGCCACTTTACAACAGAAGATGAACGTCTAACGATATAAATACGATTATGTATTATAGTGTTGCATATTAGATATATGTAAAAATATATATTTGCTATATAATTGCAAGATTTCTCTAGTATATGTATGTATTACTACACAGTAATATTTATAAAGTTTTTTTATTGCACACATTTTTCTTCATTTGAATAATCTAAACGTTTAACTTTATTTAAAAGAAGAAATAAAAAGTCGCCATTATACTTTATATTATTATTATATCTTTTTAAAAGTAAAGATTTTTAAATGTAAAAATTAGTTATTTTTATTTGTATTATTTATTTAGGTACTCGTATAAAATAATTACTGACAAAATATGTTCTTAAATATTCTTGTAAATATATTGTTTAACATTATGTTAAAGATATATGCACTTACCAAAAAGATCGCTAACTGTGTGCTTCGTTTATCCATTTTGATGAAACTGATGAAAGTTCAATTGCGTTTCCTTTTATATCCACTCAATTTGTGTATCTACTGATACAATTTATTTATTTGATAACGCGTTCCGATTCTTTACTTTTATATACTTTGATTTATCAAGAAACAATATTGCGATTAAATTTTTTTACAGAATTTTATTGAGATTAATAATTTAATTGAATTAGATTAGATTGGAAAATAAATCACAATGCTCAATAGTATTTTTAGTTTTATCACAATTGATATTAAAAGTTAATAATTACAAGATAAAAAAATTTATTTTAAAAACACAATAATATTTTAATCTGTCAGGGATAATATTTAAATGTCACTATCTCTCTTTAATACTTATAATTTGTATATGTTCGTGTGATTGCTTTAAAAATGTTGCAATACAAAGTTTAAGAGGCCATATTATTTAAGTGCAGATCTAACTTAAAATTCTGTAAAAAAAGAATGATAAAATCTATTGCAAATCTTGCAACAAATGTCTGCAATTCTTTATTGACCAACGAGCTTTTAATGATTGATATCTAATCGCTGCTGATATACAGTTTTCGCAATTTCAGACAGCAGATATTTTGTGATCTTTCGTAAAGCGATATAGAAACATCTTTTATAGAGTAATAAATATATAAAAAATGGCAAGCTTTTTTGTTCAGAATTTTTTATTTAGAGAAAAATAATTAAAGATTTTGTATAAAAAAAATGAACAAACAAGTTAAGTTTCCAAAACAATTTTCTGTAATTCAAAAATTTCTATTAGTCATTAGCGTTACATTAATGTTGCTTCAATATAGCAACATCTTAGAAGAGGGAATAAAAATACTGTAAAAGATTGGATTGATGATATATTATATACAATATAATAATTATATAATTATATACAATAAAAGCATTCATATTTCTGGTGCATTTTTTACACATTATTTCTGTACAATAACTAATCAGCTAAAATATTCCACCCACGCTGCGATGATAATTAAGCTGAGCGTGCTGAGCGTAATCGTAACCTTGATCGTACCAGTCCGGCGCGGTATTCGGAGTACTCGAAGACTGAGTATTCTGACTCGCATGCTGATGACCACTGGTGTGACTCGACCCGTACTCGCCGCTCTGAAAATGGTTGAATTGCCCCCAGCCAAGTTGCGTTCTAGACCAATCCGTATTACCTGAAGATAAAAACGAATACAAATTAAATTTTAATAAATTTTTAATTTTAATTGTAATAAAATCCAAATTCAAAGTCTATAAAAAATTCGAAATTTTATTGATAGATTAAAAAAGTAATATATAAAACGGATTTTAAGACATAAAAGTTTCCAAGTATATTACAACATCTTCTAATATTATTTAAAATCTTGAAGAATTAAAAATCATCAAGTAATCACCGGTATTGTGCGAAAGGGACGATGTGCCGTGAGCGGCCGGCGGCTGCATCGTCGACACCTGCGCGAGTTGCATGGAGGCTGCGTGTGCCGGAAGCGAGCCAAGATGACCGGGAATCGCGACCGTGTGTCCCTGAAGAGCGCTGCTCATCGTGGTGGGCACTTGGGCCATTGTAGTTGCCATTTGAGCGACAGTGGTACCGCCGGGTACCTGGTGCACGCTGCTAGGCACCTGGTGTAACGTCGTCGGACTGTGATGCAGCGTCGTCGGTACCTGCGGTATTCCGCCCGGCATTTGCGGCACTTGCGGTATCTGAGCGAGCTCGTGGCTGGCTGCGGCGTATTGACAGGGTGTCAGCGGCAGGCCGGCTACCGAGTGAGCTATGCTACCGGCATGCTTGCGAAGGCGCGCCCTGCGATTGCTGAACCACACCTGAAACAGTGCGCGTAATTGCCGAGATTAGCAAAACTTTCCACGAACGGGATTGGTCTCACGATAATTGAGATAAAAAGCACATTAACATTTCATTTATACATTTATACTGGTTGTGAAGTGTGTAAGTCATTATTTTCAACACTTCTCGGATCTGGCAGTTTTTTAAATGCTAAAGAGTTAAATATTACATTTTGGACGAAAACATGTATTCTCGTAAAATTTCAAGGCACGGATCTGTAATTTGAGAGAATCTGCAATTGAGAAATATGAGTATACAAGAATGAAGGCAAATAAGGTGAAAAAATTAATTATTTATGTGGTACTATTGTATCAAAAGTGTTAACATTCTTTCACATCTACTTCTTGTTCTCTCAAGTCATAAATTGCAAAGAGAGTTGCACAAATAATTCGTGGTGAGAAAAATAGTTTTACCAGCAAGACAAAAATAGTCAAGTAATTATACTTCTGACAACGATTGATATAAGTGCTAAAGATTCTGTATTGGAATTAATATCTTTACAAACAACGTGTGTTTTACGATAATATCGACTATTAACGTCACGCGGTACTTACTTGGATTCTCGCTTCTGTCAGCCCGGTCCTCTGGGCCAATTCTTCTCTGGCATAAACGTCCGGATATTGAGCTCGCTGGAACGCAGCTTCCAGCTGCTCGAGCTGCTCGCCGGTGAACGTCGTTCTGCTTCTGCGTTGCTTTCGCTTAAGTGGAATGCCCGGTTCACTTTCTGTGTCAGAGTCGTCACCACAACGACCTGGAAGCCATAACAGCGCGATTTTTGTTGAATTATTCGCAACAGCTGACAAATACTTATTTATCTGATCAGAAAAATGTCCGAATAACTTGTTCCAAAATCTTTTACAATAATAAATTTGTGAACATCAATAAATTAATTCTCTGAGAGATGTCTCTTGATTGCAGTTGTGTTATTTTTTAGCGTTACCATAATACATTCAAGAAATTTCTTTCGAGTATATAAATGACGTGTGTTTTTTAATGCACTCGCGTTACAAAATATTCTATGTCAATCTGTTTTAAATGCAAATTTGTTATAAGAGCTCACAGACTCGTAGCGAATGATTGAATTGGAGAATTGATTCTGAAAAGTATTTGCTTAAAACACAAATTTACCAACATTTTTCTGGTTTACGCAAAGTATTATCAGACCTGTTCGAGAAAGTCAATCGACGGTGACGCACAAAGTCAAATGTCTTTCACGAATGATCGATTCGCAAATTATGAGCGTGTTTAGCAGCAAAAAATTTCACTATCAAAGCGTGGTGTTACGACGGCAAAATTTCGCGGCAATTATTAATTGGTGTTAAAACGGCCGTCATTGCTAATCAATAAATCGTCGACAAAAGCCGCTCTTGAGCCGCTCTGTCATTCGACCCGCCATTGCGTCGATGAACTCGCCTCTTTCTCTGAATGGGATATTGATGAGATGATCATCATTACGCGTACAATATGCGCACGTGTCCGGCGACCGCTATCGCGCATAGTCATCGTGTTCCCTACGGCTTAATTGTTTCTCGTGATTAAAATCAAGATATTTCATCTAATATAAAAAAAAAATCCCAGCGTATTTATGAACTTATTTTCATAATTACAGTGTAGTGAATAATTAAAATTCTTATAAGTTTTTTTTATTATATTTCTCGCATACTTTTTCTGCTAATTAAATTAATTGAGTTGATAATTGAATAAATAAATCGCTATTTATCAACTTTATGTATAAACATAAAACGAGAGAATCTTACGATAATTCTAATATTTAATATTGATATCAAATTCTACCAATATGTTTGCTTGCACGGCTTTATGCTTTCTGCATATGTTCGCATGTATGCTACACACATATCGCAGTCATTAAAGCATTCATAAAATCCTCGTAAAAGGCAAGCAATGGTCACCGCCGTGTTCACCGCCATCTTGTCGCGTTTTTACAGGATTGATACGTTTTATGATCGACTACCTCCCAATGGTTGGTTGCACTTACGAGATTTTATCGTCGGCGATAATGGTTTCCGGTTTTTTTTCGCCAAACACTCAAAAAAATATTTCGCTGATGTAGCTAGATTTCTAGATATCGCAACAAGAATGTATCGCTATTTTTCGTATCTGTGAAAACATTGTTTGTCACATATAGAATTTATAGCAGTAATGTTCTAGCAATAGCTTCTGAAAAATTTAGGTACCATTGCTAAATGTTATTCATTGCATGATCTAACACGTGATTGATCTTATATAGATAGATGCTTTAGAGAAACTTTCTTTTTAAAGTTCACAAACAATACAGATATATATTCTGTTTCTGTCATCTAAACTGATTAAGTAATTACATATGCAATATCACAACAGTTGCTAATCATTTGTCTGTTTTAGTTAATTTTTTACACCTAGAAAATTTTAGCTATTATTGCAAGATCATTTTTTTGAGTGAAGTTTCTCCGTTAATTGTTATAAATTATATGTAGGTATTATTTAAAATAATGAAGATTTTAGTAAAGACAATTATTCTAAAAATTTGCTTTCTATTATTGGTTAATCTACTTTGACGTCTGAAATGGTACATATTAAGAGACAAAGATATGGTCTCAATAAACAGAGCGAGTAAATTTTTATCTGAATCTTATATTCCTATACTCAACTTATTGCCTCCTCTCTAATCATCTCTCGGCTAACAGACTTTTTAATTCAAATATTGCAACTTCTTTGGCCCTCTCCTCTCCCCACTTTTTCTCTCCTTTCTTCTCGACTATCTCTACCTAATACCACTCGCAGTCGATCATAGTAGTTCTGAGTGACAACATCAACTTGAATTTTTGTTTTATGGACAACCTCTTAAGTGAGTTCAGACTTTATAATAATTTTTATAATTTATATGACTAATAGTTAGATATTGCATTTTTAGACTTTTTTATTGAAAGTTATCAAAATTTGTACAATGAATTACTGCATTATTGAAGTTACTATGTAAGGTTTTTATTCTGATATTAAGGTATGTCACTTTCTGGTGGAAAGACTTTTTATTATTGTATTAGACTTGTTTTATAGATTTAATTTTTGTGACCTTATATATATTTTTGTTTCTTACTATTAGATTAAATTTGTACTGAAGATGGTTGAAAGTTCGACCGAAATGTTTACTTTTGAACAAATTGAATAGAAGAAGATTACAACATGGCAACCAAAATCCTGCATGGACTCTTGATCCTCCTTTGTTTATTTATATTAATCTACTTTCTTTTACTTCTTAAGGGGATTCTAAAGTGGTCTGTTTTACCTATTTTTTCTAATAC